CCCCCCCTCTCTTCCTTTCTCTCTACTCGTTATTTCTGTGTTGTCTGTGTGTAAAGAATAACGCATATATTTTGAAAGTTGAATCAAAGATGAGAGAACAAATTCCTGGAAAACAATAACGCATTGATCATACACCAAAATCTTACGCTCATTAATCATCGAAATCTTACAAATTCCTAGTATTTGTCTTAAGATATCCTCTCTTCACGGCATTATTAGCTTCTGTCCAGAAATTAGGCTCTGCCAAGATATTATTAAATAGATGAGACTGTAGGTATGACGAAACTTCATAATTTTTCTGTTTTCTCCTTTTCCAGAACCATAAATATTTGTAGAAGACGATCCTTCGTCTTTGGTAGAAATATCGGTTCATATTGAACCTTCATGACCTAATCCAACTTTCTTTTTTTGGTTGGAATTGGAACCTAGTCGTTCATCCTTTTTCCTTTATCCAATGAAGGATTTTACTGCCGACTTTCATGATTGTTTGGAGGGATATATGTAATTTTCGAGTCTTCACTAGAAGAGTTGGAAGTGACTGCAGGGGGATGCATAGAGAAATGAAAATTGTTATCATCAGCTTCCACAACCATTGATATTTATAAGATAAGTAGAATGGTTGTAATTACCATCATTGATATCCCCAGAACTCTCCTCCTAGTAATCATTTCCATGGATTACTCTTACTTCATTATTAATTTCTAACTAAATAAAAAAGCATCATTTATAGAGAAGTTAATAAATTTTTGGGAAATAGCGGTATATACCCTCAATTTTATAATCTTAACTAAAAATACCACCTCATCCCCAATATTTGTACAACTATCACCTATAAATATAAAATTATTGTCCATTTATTGCTGAATTTTCACAAGTTCAGAAATTTTATTCTCTCTTGGCTCTGTCTCTCTCCAGCCCGTCTCTCTCTCTCTCTCAGCTCTCTCCGTCGTGTAACTCTCTCTCTCTCCGACGCAGTCATCTTCCTCCCTCAGCCATCCAAGCTTAACTCCACAGTTCACATCCACGAGGTACTGTTCACGTTCCTTTTCTTAGAAATTTGGGGTTTTTGTGAATTTGGTTTATGGTGTATGGATTTGTATGAAATTGGTTTAGGGGTTTCTTCCAAATTGGTTTAGGGTTTTAGGGTTTAGAGGTTGCTTTGAAATTGGTTTAGGGTTTATGGGTTTGTATGAAATTGGTTTAGCGGTTTCTCTAGAGTCTAGGGTTTGGAATTGCTGAGGGAGAGAGGACATCAAATAGTTTTTAAAATATAAACTAAAATCAATATCATATGCTTTTTGGTTTTTAAATTTTAGCTATCTAGTCACCCCCCAACATCTCTCATTTCTCCCTCTAAAATAGGAAGGAAAAAAAAAAACTTTATCAGACCACAAATGCCGTAGGTATCATTTTCATCTAGTGATGTTAAAGTATTGCCGAAGTTGTTAAAATGAAAATATATTGCGTCAACCTCTATTGGTCATTTACCACACCCCTAGATAGCGAAAATTAGAAGGGTATATGAAACACTTGAAAGATGCTAATTTCTAGTATTGGAAACTAGATGATATTTTGCTTTCATACTTGTTTACTTTGAATTTCATTTAGTGTGATGTCAAAATTTTAATACAAAGCTTGAATAAAAACTACTAATCAAAGTTTATGTGGTTTGTCTCTTTCTGTTCTTTGGTGTAAAATTTCTGACTTACATTAGAATAATCTGGCTGAGGAAGTTTTTAATTGTGTGGTTTGTCAAAAACTATCAGGGAAATTACTGCCTGCATATTTACATTTTTCTTGCATGATGGCCATTTTGTTCTCTTGTTTCCTTTTCTGTTGTTTTTGAAGGATTTATTGATTATGCAGGATATCAGGAACTCAAATGAAGGCTACAGCGTGTCTTGCAACTTGTAAACAGATAGTTGATCAGAGGAGCTTTTCTGGTCATGAACTTTACTTTTGGACACACACATGCACAATGAACTTTACTGTCTTTGATGGCATTTTTGTTATTTGTTTGATAGGAAGGTGATGTTGTTGTTGCCGTCGCTGACAGACTACTTTTCCTGGGTTGTGGTTGGTGGGTGTTATTGCGGATGCTTACAAGGTTGCTGATTCTCCTTCTAAGGTCTCTCTTTCTCTCTGTTTCTACAAATTCTAAGTTTTTTTTTTTGGTTACTTTTTTTTAGATTTCTTTTGCTAATTGTAATTGGGTCTTTGTTGCAGAGGTAGAGTTGTTTTGTGCCCAGAAGATTGTGACTTTTTTGAAAGTTCGTAAATGGAAAAGGCAGCTGCCCCTGCGGCTTGGAACCCTCAATTCGGAGGTATTATGCCCTGAATTTTTTACAAAAGAAGAATTGGAATTACCCTATAGAAGGCAAAACAAAAATATATAAGAGGAAAAAAGGAGAAAATTTATCTAATTTCCCTTTTTTCAGTTGTAGTTTTTTTTTTCTCGGTCATTTTGTTTTTTTTTTTGGGGTTCAGGATGCAGGGTCGATCCAGTTGATTTACATTGATGTAGTTCCAATATGTAAAGATGGAGTTTATATATATATACATGATATAGAGTAAATTTCAGACCTTGTTAATGGTATTAGCCTGTTAGGCTTGTGGGAGATTCATTTTGTTTTCTTTCATTTTCTATAAATGATTCTGATTATTTACAACGTTGGACAGACTTCCCTACATCATTTTTGTTGTTGGTGGGGGGGGGGGGGCCCTATTTCGTTACAGGGTTTATTGACTGCATACTTCCTTGTTCTGGAAGACTTCCTCAGTTCCGTTGAGCCGACAAACCTTATGAGGTTGAATGTGAAGTGTTACCTTGCATCTGCATGTTTCATCTTTTAACTTTCTTTTCATGTTTCACGCTGATGCTTGTAGTTATTTCTAGTTTTGCATACAGATTAGCAAATAGGTTATGCATTTACTAGTCATCTAATGATTTGATATCTAATATTTAGGCATGTGGGAATTTATAGATGTACCGATTATGCATACATATGGGTTTTGCGCTTGTATTAGGAAGTTAGATTCTTGTGGTTCCTCTTCAATGGCATGAATTTAAATTGTTGTGCTTCATGATTAGGGTCTGAAGAACAACCATGTAGTAAGAAAGTTGGAGAAGCGTCAACAGATTTGCACCCTTGACCAACATATTGAAGAGCAATTTGGTGGTGGTTGTCTGTTGGCTTGTATTATAGCATGGGTTCGTCCGAGTGCTTAACGGTGTTTATCATGTTTGCATCTCATGCCTTAACTCCCTCAGTTCTCTCGGGCAGCTGTCAAATTGTTTGAAAATAATTGCCCACTTTTAATTTGTTGAAGACTTACCTTGTTATATGTTCATTCCCTTACATGGCACATAAACTGTTTCCATTTTGAAGTTGAACTATTTCGTACACCTCCATATATCATGTTGATGAGCACTATGACCCGTGCAAAATTAAACTGCATACATTAGTTTACTAGTTGTTCTTTATCTTTTTGAAGATTCATTAGTTGTTCCAAAAATTAGTTATCCCTATTAGATCACATAATGTTTGAACTAATGGTGATCAACGCAATAAGCTGGCGATACGTTGGTGATACAGTGGCAATACAGAAGTGATAAAAGGGTGCTAGAAATTGTTGTTTCTGTTTATTTTGGGCTTCTTCTTTTGTTTCATTTCATTTACTTAGCTTTAATAATTGGATGAGTACGAGATGAATTTGTGTCAAGTATTAATACAACAATTACATATATGAAGATTAAGACGAATAATATATCGTATCACCAAACATAATCAAATCACCAAATGTAATCATCCTTTTCTTCAACCCATCACGAAGCATTTGCATATTTATTCATACCTTCCTTTTTTTGTAAATTATTTTTTAGTTGTTATTATTTTTTAAAATAATTTCTTACAATGTCTTACGGTGCAATTATAATGCACCTGAACGCCTGTTTTTGAAAGGCACGTTGTTTCTTTCTCGTCGTCGTCTTCTTTTTTAATGAAGTAGGGCCTAAACCGTAAACCCATTGATGAGCCGTAGTCAATATACATACAATATAATAGCAATATTAGGCCAATATACATACACTAGAGAGGCAATATTAGGGCAATATAACGGCACTACAACAGCAATAACATCACAATATACATGCAATAGTGTGGCAATATGCATACAATATGTACGCAATACAAAGGCAATATTAGTACAATACGCATGCAATAGGACAGCAATATTAAGTCAATCTACATGCAATACACACACATCCATTACAGACTACAATTTAGACATGCAAAATAAATCGCCACCGAACCCTAACAATTCAGACTACATTTTATTATCTTTAAAGCTGTCGTCTAATACGTTCCCAAGCTGTTACATTTAGGTTTTTGTTTCCTGTGATTCTATACAACGATTTTAACTAGAAAACCAATTATAATGCTTTATTAACGAATTTTTTGTTTTTTGGTTGATTTTCTTAATTAACATAATTTGTTGCAGGGAAAGCAACTATGAGTTTGATTTATAAAAAGGACGTGACGTCCTTAATGGAATCACATTCTTACAATAATAAATAATCAATAAAAAAGCAATAATGGAATCACATTCTTACACCAATAGCTGAACACGAATCAATCACTTTGAAGAGATACATCTACGGTGCTTGTTATACCTTATTTATATGATAAAGAATAATGATCTAACATTTTCCTTTACAAAATAAACTAATACAATCAAGCGTTTTCTTTTACAAAATATCCTTATAAGTTCCTTCACAAGATAGACTTGAAAAACAGGTGATAAGATAGAAATATAAGTGCAATAACCAGGCAATAACACAACACTACAATGGCAATACGATGACAATACAAATACAATAGGGGAGCAATACAAAGGCAATACAAAAACTCCACATTCCCATTATATATTCATAATCTACAACATATTACAAAAAGGACAATTGTATTTTTATTGCTTTTTTCTTGCTTGTCTATTGTCACTTTATTGCTTGTTTATTGCTATTGTATTATTTTTTTATTGCATGTTTGCTACCACTTCATAATTCTATTTTTATTGCTTGTCTATTGTCACTTTATTGCTTGTTTATTGCTATTGTATTATTTTTTTATTGCATGTTTGCTACCACTTCATAATTCTATTTTTATTGCTTGTCTATTGTCACTTTATTGCTTGTTTATTGCTATTGTATTATTTTTTTATTGCATGTTTGCTACCACTTCATAATTCTATTTTTATTGCTTGTCTATTGTCACTTTATTGCTTGTTTATTGCTATTGTATTATTTTTTTATTGCATGTTTGCTACCACTTCATAATTCTATTTTTATTGCTTGTCTATTGTCACTTTATTGCTTGTTTATTGCTATTGTATTATTTTTTTATTGCATGTTTGCTACCACTTCATAATTCTATTTTTATTGCTTGTCTATTGTCACTTTATTGCTTGTTTATTGCTATTGTATTGTTTTTGTATTGCATGTCTACTACCACTTCATAATCTATGTTCCATTACTTTCATATTGCTTTTGTATTGCTTTTTGGTTGGTTTTCTTAATTAATATAATTTGTTGCAGGGAAAGCAACTTTAAGTTTGATTTATAAAAAGGACATAACGTCCTTAATGGAATCACATTCTTACAATAATAAATAATCAATAAAAAAGCAATAATGGAATCACATTCTTACACCAATAGCTGAACACAAATCAATCATGTTGAAGAGATACATATACGGTGCTTATTGTACCTTATTTATATGATAATGAATAATGATCTGACATTTTCCTTTACAAAATAAACTAATATAATCAAGCGTTGTCTTTTACAAAATATCCTTATAAGTTCCTTCACAAGACAGACTTGAAAAAACAGGTGATAAGAAACAAATATAAGTGCAATAACCAGGCAATACCACAACACTAAAATGGCAATACGATGACAATACAAATGCAATAGGGGAGCAATACAAAAACTCCACATTCCCACTATAATTTCATTCCACATTCCCACTATATATTCATAATCTACAACATATTACAAAAAGGACACGACGTCCTTAATGGAATCACGTTTTACACTCCTACATCATCAAAATACCCTCGAGCAAGGAATGGGTGGAGAGGCTTCTGTAAAAATTGAGGATGTAAAAGATGTTCTTGACTTGAAGGTGGATTAGTTACTGGCCAAAGGCTTCTTAGGAAATTATTTTCCTTTCGCAACTCTCCAAGAGCTAATCCAGCCTGAGGGAAAAAACAGAGTCAGAGATACATAGGCATAACCAGTGAAACTTGAGTACATTATGAACGCCAGAGAACTCAGATAAATCACCAACATAATTGTCCTTCGTAGATTAGGCCTAACTCTATCTCAGCACCTTAAATTTTGTTATTTGCAAATAGCAATTCTACTAAAACCACGTAAATGCAAAGTAATCGAGTAAACAAACGAAACCTTAGGCACTTTGCGAGTTCTCAATTCCTGCAGAAGCTGAACAAAAGGAGAACAGGATAAAAGAGCCTGTAGCGTTGCATTGAGAAAGCACAGATTCCCCGAATTGATTAAACCACGAGGCAACAAGACCGTAGAAACTGTAACAGGCCCATTCAAACACTTCTGTAGTTCCCCCTTTACCTTAGAAGCTGATAAATCATCAACACGACCATTCTGCTCTCTGTTCTGCAATTCCAGACTTGGAAATTGATTGGAGAGACCACCTTCGTTATTGAATAAAGGTAATGAAGCTGCATCAATATTATCCGTTGTCGCCTCTTTCACGCCATTACTATGGGCATAACCATTTTTATAATTATCAGTACATCCATTCTCTGTAGGAGTAGTTAAAGATGCTGGTAAACTATCATTTGCTGCTTTTACAGCCTCCACTTCATTCTGTTTATTAAGTGAACTTGAAGGCTGAACGTTGCTGAGCCCCTTCACAGAATTTTGTGGTCTGCTTGATTCACCATTACATTCACCTGAAGATATTTTAGTACCAAAATATATAGACCCAAACTGCAATACATTCTTTTCCACAGGCTTTTCAGTCTTCCCAGGTGATTGCTTTTGCAGCAATGACCTGGTCTTGTCTTCAGAGAATGACCCAAAAACGAAAAGCTGCAAACAAGGAATAACAACAAAATTTAGCAGGTTTTATAGCACAGCGAAGAGAAAAATCCCACGCCAATTAACATTAGTATTTCAAAATCACATAATTAACCATTAAGACTAGAACGGTGCAAAAGATGGAACCTACAAAGCATCGTCATCATTAAAAATTTCTGACTAAGCATGTTTCAGAAAATGTAGAGGTAGTTAAAATTGCTTTGAGGGAACAAAATCAGACTGGGAAGGAGTGAGATTATGCATGACAGAGAATGATAAGAACAGGAAACATACAAGGTCGTTAAAAGTATAAAGAAAATAAACTGCATTTATTTAGGGAGCATAGTTGCACTACTTTTGGTTCAGAATGTTGGTGGTGATAATATTTAAAAAAAGGCAATGTTTAAGAAACGAACAGAACGAAAACAACATGTAATTGCATCCATGAGGAGAAAAGGCATGGAAGACTTACATCAGATTTATTTTGCGTGGGGCAACTGTTGCAACAAGGTCTTTGGTATTTGGCCGCTCCCTGGGTTCATATTGCAAACATCGTGAGGCAAGATCAAAAACCACAGTCGCTTGTTCAGTGGAAAAATTTCCCTCCGGGTGTGAATCCATTAAGAGAATAATGTTTTTTTTCCACGAATCATATCAAGAGCCTGCAACACAAACATAAATTATAAAGGAGATTCTGTAATCCAAAGTCAGCCTACATAATTATTTATTAAAAACTAAAAGATCATCCATCCAAAGGGCCCCTTATTGCCGAGTACTAAAGACTTCCGAGTAAGAGGCATTTGAACAAACAACTCCTCTATTACCAATTTACCATACAGTGTATGGACTTCCGCATAACTCATTGGCAGAAGCACTGCACTTTAATTTTTACAGACCATGGGTCCATTCCAAACTGACTGAGTGGAGAACAAGGGCATGACATGTTAAAATACTCACATTAGTAGGAGGGATGTGTTTCCCACTGAGAAGATCCAAAAGGATAGTCCCAAAGCTGAAGATAACACTTTCCGGAGTCACCCTTCCTGCAGCATACACATATAGTTGGTAGGGAAGTCAAAGTAATTCATAAAGCCAAGAAGGACTCTTCATAAAACATAATCTCCATGCGGTGAAAATTATCACATTATATCATGTTATGGAGAAAAATATTTCTTACACAAACTAGCAAGGGCATTTCACAAAACTTTCAAAACAAAGACCAAGGCTTACCTGCTTCCAATAGTCTTACTCATTGCCTCACTATGTGTTCAGTTTACCATCTCAAGGTATCTCACATTACTATTTTTATTTAAAAACAGCCTTATGTCTGCTAACACAATCAAAAACCTTACATACTACAGAAACATCAAACTCAGTTATTGATGAGTACACTAATATGTTAACGCCACATAAATAAATAAATATCATAATAGTAGTTTCAATTATGTATTTATTGGCATGGAATTTTAAAAAATCTTCCAATTACATGATTCTCAATCTTCTTAATTCTTTTCAGCATAAAACTTAGTAACGACGTTCTGCCAACTCTTACGAAAACCTTAAGACATACCAATTTGCATCCAGCTAAATCAGAGAACTCACCCCCGTCTCTGGAACTTCTTGGAATTTGAATTTGGACCTTCCGAAGTCCATAGGCCCACCAAGCCCACCAGGTCCTCCGGGACCACCTCCCGCTCGCCGGAAAAGGAGGAACAATCCCGCGAAGGAGCAGAGGAGAAGAGAAAGACGTCGATTGAAGACATGAAAAGAGAGGGAACTGAGAGATTGTTGAAGGGAGAGAGCATTTAACGAAGAAACCCTCTCTTTCACCTTCAAGAACCCCCTCAACAAACCCTAACATTAACTGCAGAGAGAGAAAGAGAGAGTGTTGTTTAGATTTTCGCGACAAAGGGAGAAAGAGAGTGGTGGTGGTCGATGGAGAGAGAAAGCGCTGAGAGAGGAAGAGAGAACTGTGAGAGAGAGCTGAGAGAGAGAGAGCAAGCGAACGCAGAGAGAGTGAATATGGAGCTGAGAGACCAAAATTTCTGTAACAGTGATATCTGTGCAATAAGTGGACAATAAATATATATTTATAGGTGATAGTTTTACAATTTTTGAAAATGGGTGGTATTTTCACTTAAGATTATAATTTTGGTGGCATATACCGCTATTTCCCTAAATTTTTTTTATTGCCAATGGAATCTAGCCCAGTTAAAAAAGGTCTTAATTTGCATACTAGAAATCCTTCTGTCCTATAGTTTAGACTATCGCTTGTACTCCACCCAGCCACCACCACCGACACACTCCAACATAATGGGCTCCCCCTGTAATAACGTAGGCCTTCTAGTCGGGGAAAACATGAGAAGGGCAATTATTTCAATCCGAGCTAGGCAATATATTCTATAAAGTTACACGCACATAAAATTATTTCAATGGCACTACACAATATATATATATTTTTTACAAGAGATCAGAGCTGGTCCAGGGTTTTCTAAGGCCCTAGGAAAATTTTGAAAGTGTGCCCTTTTAGACAAATTAAACACTAAAATTAAAAAATTTATCAAAATTAAACACTGCTCATATGCATTTGGTAAATTTTCAAGTGAAGCATTGATCTTTTTAACAAAAATTTTATTCAAAGATCCTCTTACACTTGGAAAAATTTCTTCTTCTTTTTCTTTTTTGTCTTTTGAGATTTCCATAAAGTTGTTTATTAGGAAGCATTTTTTTAATTTTTATAATAAACACAACACAATAACAAATAACTAATTAACAAATAACAACAAACCCTGGATTTTTAGCATCTTTTCTTTAACTTGAAACTCCCAAATTTAGAGAACAAGAATCTTTGCCAAGTTTTTTGTTGAATCAAATAATAAAGAAAAAGAAGTTAATAAAGATGTGTATAATGTATCATAAAATTTATACATCTATATCTATCTATAAAAAAGGAAGAACCTTGAAAGATCTGATAAATAAATAAAAACCTTGAAAGAAAGGCACTGGTCTGGTCTTATGAAGTATTGTTTTCCAACTCAGTGTTGGAGAAGAATCACAAAAAATAAAAATAAAAATTTGCTTGCATTTGAGAGCCTTTTGGCTTTTTGATTATAATTATAAAAAATATATATAAAAAAGGCATACTGGTTTATCTTTATTTAATTTCCCTATGTTTTGTTTTTCTTTTGTTATATTATATAATACTAGCCTCTCCGCATGCGCTTCCGCGCTTGCTAGAGGCTTTTTAAAAAAAAATTAAAATTTATTTTAGAATTAAAAAAGATAATGGTAGTTATGTTCCATAAAAATAGGCCATTATCTGATTTTTTTTTTAATTCTAATTTTTTAAATATGAAAAAAGTGTGAATTTACCATATTATCCTCATTTAATTAATAATTTCAATTCTTAATGTTTGCATTAACTAAGGGTATTTTCTGATATTTTGAATGTTTCACCATTCTCTGCCTTTTGCTTTATATATATAGATATAATATATATTTGACTTTGTTTTTCAAGTAAGGAAGTTTCCTTGAGAGTATCAAAAAGTAATTTGTGCTGACATGCCACCATATCAGGAACGGCTCCTTCAAGATTTGGTTCTTTTTTAAAATTTTTAATATACACATATATCATATATGGGCTATAAAAAATTTGTGTGCCCCTCTCAATTTTGGGCCCTCGGCTGTAGCCCTAGTCGCCCTGGGCCACCTCTTGAAGAGATATTGAGAGAGGAGAGAATTGAACTTAAAACCTTGAGTGGTGGGATAAAATGCTCTTAGCCACTTGAGTTACAAACCTTTTTTTCAACAAGCAAGTAACGTAATGTTTCTTTACGAAAAAAATAACAAAATCAATCGTGACTAATACGAAGAATACAACAAAATTTAATTCAATGAGAGTGATTTTACATACATATGTTAGCCAATACAAGATTATCTGTTAAATAGATGTTGAAATAGACATGCGCATCTCATGTGAGTGGGGTGATTTGATTAAAACTTAATTAATTAATTAATAATATATATATTTTTTATTATTGGTTAGGAAGGAGTAATATATTAAATTATCTCCAGATTACCTTTTAAATCGAACCGGGTGCATTTGGAGAGGGGAGAATTTGGTAGGGTATATTTTTGCTCACCACTTTAACCCAATGTGTATTCTCACCACCCTTCTCAATACTTGATACTTGTCTCTTGATATAACCATAATTAACTTTTTACTTTGTATTTATGCAACTATAGTTATATCAATAAACAGGTGTGAAATGTTGAGAGAGTACACCTTAAATTAAAGTAGTGAGCAAAAATGCTCCTGAATTTGGTATACTTTTCCACTGCCAACCCATTTGATATTTATTTATTTTTTCAAGTGGAAACTTTTTTTTGGGATCAATTTTGAAGGGTAAATTATTTATTTATTTATTTATTTTTTTCTGACCAGTTTAAGTGGCAAATTGCAACAGGCAGTGGATATTTACTTTGAAGACCCCGATTCAGTGAGTATACCAGAGCAGCGCCCAGTAGGTTTTTGAAGAAACCCGCCGAATCCGACGGAAACGTTATGGAAGTTGTCGACGGTCGAAACTCCAACACGAAACGCAAACGAGACGACGTCGTCCCGAACGGCAACAGTAACAGTAACAGTAACAACGACATCGACTTGTCCCTCTTGGAGGCAGTAGAGAAATCCCAAAACGCCGTCGAAGCGCCCGACCTCCGAACCCTAAAGAAGCTAGTGCTCTCCTTCGAGCGTCGTCTCAAGGACAATATCGGAGCCCGACTCAAGTACGCGGATCAACCCGACCGCTTCGCCGACTCCGAAGTCGAGCTCCACGAAGACCTCCAGAAGCTCAAGGTCCTCGCCGGAGCTCCGGATCTCTACCCGGACCTCGTCTCCCTCAACACCGTCCCTTCCATTCTCAACCTCCTTGGCCACGACAACACCGACATTGCAATCGACGTGGTTCAGTTGCTCCAGGAACTCACGGACGACGAGGTTTTCGATGAGAACGACGAGGCCGTTGGGGTTCTCGTCGATGCCCTAGTAGACAACAATGTCCTCGAGCTGCTGGTTCAGAATCTGCAGCGGTTGAACGATTCGGACCCGGACGAGAGTGCCGCTGTGTACGGGACTCTAGCTACGATCGAGAATTTGATCGAGGTAAAGCCGGCGGTGGCGGAATTGGTGTGCGAAAGGACCAAGCTTTTCAAATGGTTGATGGGGAAGATTAAGGTGAGAGAGTTCGATGGAAACAAGCAATATGCTTCGGAAATATTGGCTATACTGTTGCAGAGTAGCGTAGCGAATCAGAAGAAGTTGGGGCAGATGAACGGTGTCGATGTGTTGCTTCAGGCGGTGGCTATGTACAAGTCTAAGGACCCCAAGAGCTCCGATGAGGCCGAGATGTTGGAGAATTTGTTTGATTGTTTGTGCTGCTTGTTGATGCCATTGGAGAACAAGGAGAGGTTTGTGAAGGCTGAAGGGGTGGAGTTGATGATCATTATCATCAAGCAGAAGAAGTCTGCTTATGGGTCGGCCATTAGAGCGCTTGACTTTGCCATGACCAAGTACCCGCCAGCCTGCGAACGTTTCATTGATGTTTTGGGGTTGAAGACGGCCTTTGCAGCTTTTATGGGTAAGGCAAGTGCTGCATTCCCTTTTTCTTTTCCAAGTAATTTATTATTTTTCTTGAGACTATCCATAGCAAAACCCTACTAATGTCTTTCTGTAGTTAGATTGTGTCCAAGAAGCATTTGTTATGCTTCTAATAACTGTGAACTTTGATGGCTATTTGGGATGAAGAAGGATATTGTCTACTATATGTGGCTTCTGATTTTGCTTAAGAAAGAAGTTGACTTTCATTTTGCAAATGTCATGTATACTTATTTACACTGTGTCCATAGATGAATACTAGAGAGAGAGAGAGACAGAAATAAAACTCTGCTTGGCATTGAATTTCACGCGGAAGAGCTACAATTAAATAAAAATGATTAACTTAGTACTTGTTTTGTCTAATTAGAAGAGGGTAATAATTTGTATTTGATTTTGTGTAGATTCCCATTAAGAAGAAGAACAAGAAGGAGCGTTATCACGAGGAGTTGGAGGAGCGCATTGTGTCTCTAATTGCATCTTTATTTGGTAAGCAGGCAAGTGAAATTGTAGTGGTTATGTGAATGTTTTGTATTTTTATGATTTTTTTGTTTTCACCTTTTGTAGTCCTAAGATTATTGGTTACTCTATTTAATCTGTTTTTATAGTATTTTTTTTACAACTTGAGTGATTTCTTGTACCTCTTTTCTTACCTTTAACTTCTTCTGGACCCTTGTTATCAATAGTTAAGGAAAGAAGATGATGTACAATCTTTATGTTTAGCTCGCTGCTCATATAAAACTTTTTAGGTCCCTCATTAGTAATGAAACAATAATACAATCGATAACTGGTAAGTGCGTTAGCTTGTTGGTTGTCTAGGACAGTCGTTGCCCCTTAAGGGTATAAAAGCAACTTTTAAGAAAGATAGTGCATATGTATTGATTCATGGTTTATTGAATTAAGTATCAATTTGTTATTGTAGTGCATTTTGTAAAGTGCAACTCTGGATGCTCAGTTTTGGATACTTCTGAATCTGAGCTTTGATGTTGAACTTCTTGAACAGTTCTCTCTATTTAACATTTCCTGTTTACAATTTCCATTCTGGAATTGTTGGAACCTCCAACATAATCTGGATAGGAAGTTGTTGTTGAGGACAGGATTTAGTTGAATGTAAGTCCTTAACTAAGCATATATCACAGATACACTTTAAGGATCAAATCTAACGATAAGTGAATAGCTAAGTGGGTGAACGAAAATACAATCAGCAGTAAATATCTTGCTTCTTGTAAATGAGTGATGGAACAACGCGAGTTCCCTAGAAGATGTAGCTGGCATACTGATACTGTGTTAGCCTAAATTAGTGGCCCAATCATGTATGCTCTTGCAATGTGGTTATCTGTGCTTAAGCCCATCCTTGCCTGATGGTTTCATCCTAGTTATTTATTTTCTCCGCAAAGGCTCTGTTGGGCACGGTTGAGTGCACTAGAACACTGACAAGTATCTTATATTTTACAATGCATTACGCTACTGAAATATGTGTATCTATAAGGGTTTCATCCATAAACATCATTTCACTAGATTGTCTCCCAGATTTTTACTCATTAAAATGATACTGTCGACTGAGCTACCCAAAATTCCCATCTCAGGTGGAATTCTGAGGGGTTCTAGAAGGGAGAGATTGTTAAGCAAGTTTGTCGAAAATGAGTGTGAAAAGATAGACCGGCTTATGGAACTTTATATGAGGTGGGTTTTGCTTATTTGTTTCTTTATTTCTATGGAAACATATGAAAAGAGAAAATGACAGAAGCATGGAAGTCAATATCATTTGAAGGCAAGCTTTTCTTCTCAATTTATGATATATTTTTAACTTTTCTTTTTATTTATATTTCAGATATTCAGATAGAGTTAAAGCCGAAACTGAACGGATGGATCAGCTTGAACTTGATGATTTAGAGGTCAGTTCTTTCTTTGGTTCTAAGTAGTCTGCAGATCCTTGAAATTACATTACTTTCACTGAGGGGGGTTTTACACTTTGCAGATGGATGAAGAGGAAAAGTACAACCGGAAGTTGGAATCTGGACTTTATACTCTTCAGGTTTGGTTTTATTTTGGATGGAATAATGCAATTTTTAGTGTGCTTTTTATGTGGGTTTGCTATAAAGTTATACAGGACTGAGGTGGATCATGTTAGCTTGGAGAAGGGTTAAAACGTATCATTTAATTCAAATTTCTTTTTGTTTTGATATGGAATAGAATTAGTGCTACCGATGTTTATCCCATTCAACCCCAAGGAATTAGAGGAATTGAATAAAATGTTGTCTAAACAGGTGATACAAATCCAGTAAAGGTGTAAAACAGAACTATTAGGAGAACCATGAATAACAACAAAGGTTATAAAACTCCAAGCAATGAAAAAGGTTGTAAAACAGTTTGGTTCATCCAGTTGTATCTGAGTTTTTAATTATTTTGGAGCTGAAAAACTAAGCAATTTCTATTCATAGAATCTGTTTGAGGTGAAGCTATTAATTTTATTTGCAATTTGATTCAAATTTAGTAACTGTTAAGATGTTAGTTACAATCACGTCTATTTTTCTTAGAAACATGTAGTCAAATTTTTGCACTTTTCCCATAAATAAATAGAACAGATGTTTTATATAAAGGCATTATAAACCAGTGTCTTGCATTAGGGAAAATAATGGCGTTTATTGGTGTTAGTACCCCAATTTTTTGGTTAGTCCTTGCAATCATATAAAAAGGGTAACTGTTCTCCAGGAGGCACAAAGGTTTTAATGAGTATTACGGAACCATCACAACTACCACAAGCATAATCATCATCACTGCTACTATTGCCACTACTACTAAGGCTGCTGTCAATTTTATATTTTTTAGCGAATAATTATGTAAACTTAATTCATTTCTGTCCAATCTGATCACAATGTTGACTCCACCATGCGTTTAGACAGAGTTAAGGTAGAGCTTATGTCTTACACTGCACCAAAATGAAAATAGTTAAATCCTTTTTAATCCAGTCAGCTGTATCTTGCATGCTAAACATTGCCATAATTGTTTCCAAGTTCCAATCTTCACCCATTACATGAGTAGTTGTCAGATATACCATAGCTTGATTAGTTTAAAATTCATTATCCTTTTGGATCTTAACCTCTTTATTCACATGCTGCAGTTGATTGCTGTTATTCTGGGGCATCTTTGGTGTTCTGAGTAAGTTTCTACATCACATTTATATATTCTTGCTTACAGTTTCATAGAAGAGCTGTATTATATTTGAGCCTGTAATTTCTTTTGCAGGCACCCTCAAATGAGAGCAAGAATTGAACTACTGCTCAAGCAGCAAAAACTGACTAAGAAGGATGTTAAGGATATACTTCAGGTACATAAGCTTGGTGTCTGCTAGAACTTCAAAATTTCTAGTAGAAATTGTAGTTCAGTTAATTGACATGTTAAAAAAATTATTCTCAGTCGTCTGTATCTCAGATGTGTAGTATCAGAGGGTACAATACTTTAAAATTTGATTGTGGGTGCCCTAGATAGTAGCATTTTCTGCAAGCTTTTGGTGCTTTCTTTAAGATTTTGAGCATAATAGGGGTCTCTTGGAATGCTTGTAAAGTAATTTTTTTGGAGAAACAATTAACAGGTAGTAGCCTTGTATAAAGATTGAATTTTAACAGAATCAGGGGTGTTTTGAGTACACCAAATTGATAGTTTGAAAGTCGTTCAGTAAATTGATTTGCTCAGGCCTAGAATTTGAAATTTGCTGGCTTTAGATATCCCATAAGAAGCTCCAACATGGATAGGATCATCACTGAAACTTTCAGCTGTGGTTGATCGATAAAGATATAGATCTAGAGTCTGAAAGGGTAGTAAACTACATTTGACAATAAGTTGGGGGAAAGTGGTTGGTGGTCATATCCAGTTTAATTGCTTATGCTTAAATGCATGACTGCTACTGTGCATTTTCCTTATGTTTACTGTTTTCTTGGAATTGTGCATAATCTTGTTGGGTTGTTTAGCCCCGTGTTAATTAAATTTTGAAGAAGTGTAATAAACTTGGTCATTTGTCCAACTTTTTCCTCCTGGTCTTCTGTTTAGTTCTTATAATGTTAAGTTTCTTTGTATTTGGATTACCTGGCCCAATGATGTGTTGTATTTTTGTGTGCAATGTTTCAAAGATGGGCTCTACCAAACAGAGAAAAGGAGAAAAATAAAACTTTGAAAGGATTGATTCTTACAAGGGCATGTACATGTTGGATTTGGAATTATTCATAATTTCTCACTGTCTACCAAACATAGAAAAGGGGGAAATAAAACCTTTTCAACATTAACTTCACTGTGCTGCAATTGGGAATTCAGATTTGTTGCACCTCATGGTTTCTTAGTTCAAATGGGCTTATTTTCTTCCCTGCTCTCTAATATCTCTTACCTAGACCTTCGCTAGGGTAATGCCAGCATGTAGGATAGGCATTGTTTAATATAAGTGGAACAAGGCTTAATTGGGTTCTTACAACCAGATTACTAAGATCTTATTTCTTAACAGGTCTTTAAATATGCTGAATATAAGTACTTATATTTAGAAATAATTCTAACTGATAAAGTGAAATCTACACTTTTTGGTGCATGACTTTAAGCCCTTGGTGGATTAAGCTTGTGCTAATTATTTGAATACTTTATAAGTACCCTAATACAGTACTCTTTCTTTCTTTGTGGACCACAGGAATATCACGACAATATTGGTGATGTGGATGGACCTGAAGAAATGGAGCGATCGCAGGCAAAGATTCAAAGGTTCATCTCGGCGTTGTGATTGTTTAAACGATTTGTTGGGCCCTATTGAGCTATGTTTTGTGGAAGTTAAGAGTGCCATGTAGAAGTAGTTGAGAACTGCTGATCTTGTATGTATTGCAGTATACAACATTTTGAGAAAGGTATCGTGCTGATAATTTAGAACCATTAGAAAATCATACATGTAGTTGAGATCTGCTGACTAACTCAGAGTACGTTGAAAACTGGCAATATTGTTTTAATTTCTCTCAGGTAAAGTGGGACTTGCTTTATCTCCTTCAAAGAACCATATAGGATTCTGTAATATGGTGTTTACAAGTACATGGAAATCAAGACTTTGGTTCATGCAGCTTTTATCAGGTCATCTAGGGCTGAGCCCTCTTTTGTTCATGGTCTTTATTGGCTGATATTGGTATTTTTTCTACGGTGCAATTCCTGTGTTTTTTGACTCAATGGTGATGTTCTTCAAAAAAGCATCCTTAACTTCAGGAGTATCAGAAACATAATCAAGAACTATTATGCTACGTTGCAAATCAATGGATGGAATCAAAAACCAAATACCTGTTTGGAATTGCTTCGGTAGGAAACCATTTCGCTCATAAGCGCCTTTGTTATAAGTGTTTTTACTAGATGCCCGTTTAAATTTTTACTAAAAATCTATCAAGAACTACCATGCGACCGAAGCAGATGGAATCAAAATTTCAGGGCTGTTTTGAGAGGAAACAATTATGGTGATAGACGCATTGAAACTATTATAAAAAAATCTTCAATTTTTTTGTTGAGTACAACCAATAGTCTAAACTACAATAGTGAGGGTTTCTTACATACACAACTAATGCCATGAGGGTTACAATAGTGAGGGTTTCTTACATACACAACTAATGCCATGAGGGTACGAACTTGAGACCTCTAGTCTGCCATGAGAGTCGAACCTAAACTTGAGACCTCAAATGAGAGCAACCTGTGGTCTTCAATTTTCCCTCCTTCCTCTATTTTTCTCTCCTCTTCTTCTTCCTCTTTCTCACGTCACTTCTCTCTTTCTTCCTCTTTTTCTCTTTTCTTCTCTCTCCTTTCCTTCTCTTTTTTTTTTTTTTAAAATCTCCTCTTCTTCTTCCTGTTTCTCCCGTCATCTCTCTTCCTTTTCCGTCTTTTTTTTAATCTCTCTTTTGTTCTCTTCCTTTTTCCTTTTGTTTTTCTCTCCACTTTTTTTTCCTCTCTTTTATTCTCTCATTTTTCCTTCTCTCTTTCCTCTTTCTATGTTTCTCTTGTTCTTGTCGTTTTTTTTTTTTTTTTTTTATGGGTGCTGATTTTTTCACTCCCCTTTTGTCCACTTACACTCTCTTTTGTTTTTTAATACTTTTTATTATAACATAAAAGGGAGTATAAGTAGACAAAAGAGGAGTGGGAAAATCAGCTCCCTTTTTCATTATTAGTCTTGTTTAATTTGGTTAATTGTGTAATGAGCTTTGATGTTGGCTTTAGCCCAATTGCCCTCTGTTCTTCCTCTTTTTTCTGTACTTATATTTATTTTGTTTTTTTTGTCTCAGATCTACGTCTGAGAAGCAGGTTGCTTGCTAGTATTGCATATGTTTCTACAAAGATTCTACTCTTGTTTCTCATCGTCACGTTTGGGTTGTAGATTGACTATTCTCTGGTTATCTATTCTACATGTAACTCTTATGATATTTCTCAATAAATATATTTTCCAACCAAAAAAATGCATATCAAAGATCTCATACCTTCCTTAAGTTGTAGTGGAAATCAAGCTTCTAATTGGCGCGAAAAGTTCTAAGAAAGTCTCAAAACTTTCCAAATTCACAAAATTTTCGACTTATTGATTTTTCTAATTGAAAATGCTAAAAAGTCTAGCAACCATTAAAAAGCGAACACTTGAAATAGAGAGGCAGAGTGTCTGTTGCTCTTCCCTAAGCTGTCTCACTTTTTTTTTTCCTCCTTAATATGCAACTGTGAAGTAAGGTTATTTTTACCAAAACAAAAAATATATATTGAGAGGTCGCAAAAGTAATTCACTTTAGGTCTCTTCATCTTCCTGTTATGTCCTCTCAATTAACCCTGAATTTATTTATTTATTTTCTGAAAAAACAGAAAAGGAATTTGAATAGACAGAGACATGCTTTTTTAACTATAACGCCCTCTGTTTTGCAAAGCAAAAGGGAATGAAATAGCGCAGATGCTTCCTTCAGTGCTAAGTAATTGAATATAGCATGAAATTTATGATATACTACTACACTGAAGAAATTGAGCAAGAGTAAGGAAGCAATGGAGAAGACTAGCACGACCACCAACAAGAAAGAAGTAACAGATAGAAGTAGCTTGATCGATCTGGTATTCTCTTGGTCTCTCAGGGATGTTCTCAACAACCATCTTTACAAAAACCAGGTTTGTCTCTTTTCCCCCTTATACATACTATTGGTTTTTCAGCACAAGTTACATATTTGATGATGGTGGCATGGCATGCATTAGGTTCCCAAGATTCCCGAGACATTCTCGACTGTGACGACCTACAAGAAATCATTCATTCCTTCACTCATTGAGGAAACTTATGCTGATTTACTCTCAAACATGATGACTCTGTCGCACGCACCTACTTGTGAGATACTGACAGTAGATTATTCTAAATATCATAAACCTCCCAAAGCTTTGTTTTATGATATAACATATAAGAAAGATGCAGAAGTTGATCAGAATCACAAAGGGCCAATGTATGAGCCACAGGTTGGAGATCTCATTGCCTTGACTAATGTCAAACCAAAATGCATTGATGATCTGAATAGGCCCCAAAGGTTCTATCTTATTGCTTATGTTGATGGAGTGACTGATCTTGAGAAGTTTCCTGATGATTTTGAATTCAAAATACTCTCGTCGAAGCCTATTGGTTTTGGAGAGCAAGACACACAACAGAGCAAGAGAGAAACACTTTTTGCTGTTTATCTGATGAACATGACAACAAACATTCGTGTATGGAATGCCTTGAACTCAGAAGGGGGAAACACAAATGTCATTGAGAAAGTTCTGCAACCCAATTCAGATGTATGTATCTGGACTCATATTCTTTTCCTTAGCAGTCCATTTGTTTGTACATTTCACAGTTCTTAGTAAACTTTATGTTTGTTTCTTACAGGATGGAAGTTCTTGCACAGTTTGTTTTCCCAAAGAAAAATGCTCTCCTGACCTTTCTACTATATGGCCCACAATTAGCTCTCATAGTCTAAATGAGTCCCAAGAAGCTGCAATTTTAAACTGTATCAGTTTGAGCAAATGCCAACACCAGAATGCTGTCAAATTAATATGGGGTCCTCCTGGTACTGGGAAAACAAAGACCGTCAGTCTATCACTCTTTGCTCTGTTTAAGTTGAAGTGCAGAACACTAACATGTGCTCCCACCAATATTGCGGTTTTAGAAGTGGCAGCACGGCTCCGGAGATTGGTTAATCATTCACTTGAGTATGGTAAGTATGGACTTGGAGATATAATTCTCTTTGGGAACAAGAAGCGAATGAAGGTCGATGGTAATGCTGACCTTCTCGATGTATTTCTTGATTATCGCGCTGAAACTCTGTACAAGTGTTTGGTCCCTTTATCCGGATGGAAGCATTTGTTAGAATCAATGATATGTCTACTCGAGGATCCAGATAAACAGTACTCTTTATATTTGGAAAAGCATAGAGAGAATGGTCAAGAAAATGAAAAGTATACTAATGGAAATGCAGAAAGTGTAAGCAAGGATGATCCTTTGACATTTGAGGAGTTCATGAGGGAAGAATTTGGTTCAGTTGGTGATGCTATGAAGTTTTGTATGGTAAACTTTTACACTCACTTACCAACTTCTTGCATTTCACTTAAGGTGGTGAAGGATATGGTTGCGGCTTTGCGTTTACTTAAGTCTTTTAAATCTTCATTGCATAGCATTGGCGTCCCTGATGAAGGTTCGAAGTTACTCCTAAACGATTTCAAAGGTCCAGGAAGCATTGGTGGTTGGTTTACACAGTTGAGAAAAAAGTGTGTTTGTAAACTGAAGTTGCTTCCTCGGGAATTTTCTGGTCTGGATTCCTTTTCCATTAATGAATTTTTAATAAAACAATTCTGCCTGCAAAATGCTTGCTTAATATTTTGTACTGCATCAACTTCTGCCAAATTGGACGGTGCAGCAGCAGTGAGACCACTCGAATTGTTAGTCATTGATGAAGGTGCTCAGCTTAAAGAATGTGAATCAGCAATTCCCTTACAACTGTCTGGTATCCGCCATGCTATTCTCATAGGAGATGAGAGGCAACTTCCTGCTATGGTTAAAAGCAAGGTTTTAGTTTTATCCTCTGCGTTCTTTACTTTTTCTCAAACTACCAGAACTGTTTATATTGTTGTAACGTTTTAATGAATTGGATCAAATTATTAGGTTTCCGCAAAGGCTGAATTTGGAAGAAGTTTGTTCGAAAGGCTGGCAGGGTTGGGACACGCAAAGCATCTTCTAAATATCCAATATAGGATGCATCCATCCATCAGCTTATTTCCAAATAGGGAGTTTTACGACAATCAGATATTAGATGGTCCAAATGTCAATGAAAGAAGCTATGAGAAGTGCTTCCTTCAGGGAAAAATGTTCCAATCCTACTCCTTCATAAATGTAGCCAATGGAAAAGATGAATTTGATCATGGTCATAGTAGAAAAAATACGGTGGAGGTTGCTGTGGTCACTGAGATAGTTGCAAGACTTTACAAAGGTAGTTCTATTCTATTGATATCTAAGATCATCGATGCACTAATTATTTTAAGAATATATTAGGAGGTTTAGATACATTTACAAACACAAACCAAGTTTTCTGAAATTTTCTTTCTGGGCAACAGAGTTCATTGGCAAAAGGAAGAAGGTCAGTGTTGGGGTCATATCACCATACAAGGCTCAAGTTCATGCGATTCAAGAGAGAGTCAAAAATTACAGTAAGTATTCTGATGCAGGCTTCTCTGTAAGTGTGCGATCTGTTGATGGTTTCCAAGGTGGTGAAGAGGATGTAATAATTATCTCCACTGTAAGATGTAATGGGAATGGATCAATTGGTTTCTTGTCTAACCGTCAAAGAGCAAATGTGGCGCTCACACGTGCAAGGTAGTACTTTTGTATAATTACATTACGGTTATACATGATGCAGCTAGGACATGTCTGAGTTACTGGTGGTTCTGAATTTAGTAGTTTTGATTGTGTCTGTGTAGGTATTGTCTTTGGATTTTGGGGAATGGATCGACTTTGGTTAACAGTGACTCTATTTGGAAAAAGCTAGTCCTTGATGCCGAGAGACGGGAATGCTTTCATAATGCTGATGAGGACAA